AGGGTCTACAGGGTCTCACTACATAGATCGGACTCATAGTGATCGTCCTGTTTTTAGCCTCCTAAGCTTTGGGATTACAGGCGCATGTGCCACCAAACCCAGTCTCAGTCAGCATCAGTAAGCCCCTAGGAGCGCGGCTGGCAGGCGCTTTAGTCTGCTGAGCTATGAGGCCAGCCTGGTTCTCCTATTTGTATTAGTGTCCCAGGTGGAAACAGGGGCTCAGCAATGTGACATGGTTCTTCCCAGGTCACCCAGTTAGAACATTCCAAGCCGCTGCTCTTCCTTCCACAAAGCTAATTTGAAAAGCAACCCAGTCAAGCACTGCTGGGAAGGCAGCTTTGCAAAATCAGCCCAGCATTTCTGGAGACCTCGAGGTTCCTACACACCCTGGGGCTCATCCCTGCACTCCACCACAGTGACCTGGCCAAGTATGAGACAGCCACAGCTACAGAAGGTGCCAGCGCCGAACAAAGGGAAGGGGTTAAAACTCCAATTCCTGTGATGACAACAGAGTTCTGCCATCTCTCAAGGAAGCTCATAGATGGTGAAAGAAATGAAAACCAGACCCTGTACTGCTTTCTTGTGGGGAATGGCCAAGGTTTCATAAGGCCCCACTATGAAAGCAGATGTATCTCTCTTCCTGGAGCCCCTCCTCCTGCCTGGCCATGTTCATTCCCACAGCGTTCACACACCATGAGATGGCTTGCGCCTCCCAGGACACAGGGACTTATACGGGGTACTGGAGATGAAAGACTACCACTATTGGTGGCAGGGCTCATGGACAAAAGTGAAATAGCCAGAGGACTGGGAGAAGCCCCTCACCTGGGAGCTGCCTTGGGACACAGAGGTCACTGGTATTTCCTAAACAACAGTGTGTGCGTGGGTGTGTGCATCTGTCAGTCACTAGCATTGGTGTTCACTGGTGCTGGCCAGATTCATATCAGCCCTTCATAAGAGGTAACACTGCCTCCACTTTAACGTTGAGGAACAGAACCTCAGAGAGGGTAATGTGCCTAAAGTCACGGAGTCACCAAGTAGGACCCATGAGCTGGTGTGATGGTGACTGCTGTGTTTTGTGTCACCCAGCCAGCCGGGGAAATCAGCAGAGCCTGGGAATCTGCATGTGTGAGCAACTCCTGGGTGAGGGCACATGCAAGGTTCTAGGACCACACTGCTTTCGTGGACCTATGCTCTGCTGTGCCATGGAGGCTGGCATTGCCCAAAATCTTCGGTGCAGCCTTTCCACCAGGATGCTGGCACCGGCTGACTGCACCTGCACTGCCCAGCCACTCTGTGCAGGTCCCCTCTTCCCTATGACTAGGCTGGGTGCTCAAGCCCTAAACACCAGCTCTGAGTCACAAAGGCGGGCAGCGCCTGCTTCAGTGAGGCCCAGAAGCCCATGAAGGGAGACACCTGCTCCCCCAGGACTGGGTAAGACTTTGATACCATTCTGTATCTCAGGGGGGTTGACGTGATGCAATCTTCCTCCTATAAGGCAGATGGAATTTCCTGCTTAGATCAGTGGAGGAATTACGAGTTTGCTGCACCAGGGCCAGGCTCAGTGGGAAAAGCAGGAATGAGACGCAAGAAGGTGAGGGGCCCTGGTGTGCTGGGTTCCTGGTTTTGGTCCTTTTGAGGCTGCGGGAGGGGGGCTCTCCTCCTGGGTCTTTTAGTTCCAGTCTGAGTGTCTGCAGTTCCCCAGGGCTTGCTGGAGGGCTCAGTACAAATCTTTCAAGAGGGCAGGGTGATCTGCATTCCAGAGAGAGGAGGGGTTTGGAGAGGCTGGGGCTTAGGTTTGCTTCACAGCACAAAGCCAGACTGGCCCAGAACACCCAGCCTAGCCCTGTAGCACTGATGGCTCTCCTCCCCTCCTTGATTTCCACAGCGGGGTCTCTTTTTGCAGTGGACATGAATGGGGGTCTCCTATGTGCAGGAGTTGTGTTGGCTATTGGCAGTAGCAGACTGTAGGACGGGCTGTCTGCTGGCCCCACAGAGCCTGCAGCTAGAGAGAGCTGACTTTTCATGGGGTGCAGGGAGTTCCTGGGGTCAGTGCTGAGGTGGGGAGTGTCTGCCGGGCGGAGGTTACCAGCTCTGGTGCACATTCCCCAGCTGGTCATCCCAGCCTGGCTCTGGGCTTCGGCTTCATGTTGACTTCCCTGTGCTCATGCTGCTTTGTAAACACAGGTCTCCCCTTACCCCCTCATCTGCCCCACCAACACCCCCTCTCAGAATCCACTGAACAACTTCATCCAAGCCAGAGTCACCATGTGCTTGAACTTCCGTGGGCCCCTAAAGCTGATCAACACAGTGGCCAGGGGGGGCAGTTCCTTGGGTGCTCTACAAATGTTTGCCTTGGTCACAAATAGAGGTGTGTGTGGAGGGCAAAGGCCAGGGGAAGGAGGAGGTTGGGGGGCGGGGTCAAGGCAGGGTGCGTGCAGGAGGAAGAAAACAAGCCAGCGCTGCTGCCTGCTGGTTCTGTCTGGTTTCTTGGGGTTCTTCACACCCTGCTTAGGACAGTCCTTGGGGCAAATTGCTAAATTGTGGTCCCTTAAAGGCCTGGGACGTTGTCATCGCAGTTTTCCTCCCCCACCTCATGGGCAGGGGAGGGGCTTCAGGAACACCGAGGGCGGCAGACTCTCTGGCAGACCAGACGGGAAGTGCCCCTCGCACTGGTCGCTCGCAGGCTGCGAGGAGATCCGCAGGGGATGAGATGTTGCCTTGGTGATGCTAATGAAAAGCAGGCCTCTGAGCGGCCAGGAACCCCTGTGGGCTGAGTTATCTCCTTCTTGTGAAGCGCTCCTCACCTCCCCACCCACAGCCTCAGATCAAACTCCCCTAATATTTATAAAACCTCTGGCAGAAACAGAAAGTCAGCCACCCGGCCAGGCGTCTGCCCACAGCTTTCTGGAGCTGCTTGGTGACACTCTTCTTGGCTCTTGGTTCTGTTTTTCTTCCACGCAGTGAGCAGCTGAGCAGGGAAGGAGGCAGGAAGAGTCTGCCTTGCTCTCTTCAGCTGATCTTAACTCTGGGGAGCTTACTCAGACTGAGGGGCTTGGCTTTGGGAGGGGTCCTGGCTCCTGCCCCTCCCTGCTAGCTCAGGCCCTCCCGTGGGCTTCTCCTTGGTTGTTTCCTGAGCCCCCTTCCTGTTCTCCCTCTCCGACCTCCCTGCCTGGAGCTGCCAGTCCCTGAGGGGTGACAAATGCTAAATGGTGGGCAGCAAAAGGGCTGATCTCTCGCCTTGGTGGGCAGGGGCCTGGTGTATTCCCTCTGCAGAAAAGGGAGCTCACAGTGGGGAATCAAAGCTGTTCTGAGAAAATCTGTGTGATCGCTGTTAATTACTTATTCTTTCTCTCTCTTTTCTTTCTTTATTCTCTCTCTTTTTTTTTTTTCTTTTGCCCAGTGGTTATCACAATGTAAAGAAGTAGAAAAACACAGGCTACATGGTGGGATGCAGCTGGAGGCTGTGTCCTGCTAGTGAACGGCAAGACACCATTTGTCCAGTTGATGAGTATATGTCACTTAATTGCCCTTCCTGAAGGGCCCATCCCCTGGGTGACAGACTCCAAGCAGGAAGGCAGCAGGGGGTTGGGGGCAAGTTCTGGACTGGGTTGAGTTTGCAGGCAATTTAGGCCTCTTGCTGAGAGCTCGGCCAACCCAGCAGGTTCAGCCTGGGTGAGTTGTGGAACTTTTTATCTGTCTCCTCATCTTCAGAAAATGAGGGCCAGGTCTAGCTTTATGGTTGTTGTGTACCTAGGAAAGAAGACAAGTGCCATATGGTATATATAGCACTGACATAAATATTGTCCATGGACCAAATGTAGGGCGCAGGTGGTAGCAAATGGCACAAGTGACAAAGCAGGAGAAGCATTAAGGAAGTGCCAGGAGTCCTCCGTGGAGAGGAGGGTTCCTGTGTACCTACAGGGTGAAAGGCACTGGGACAGAAGTAAGGAGACCAGTCGAGCAGGGGCAGATGAGAGGCTGTTGGGAGGAGCCCTGTCTGGGTAAACTGGTGGGAGCCGAGGAGGATGCTGGGAACAACCTGAAAGTGAGGCTGGACAGAGAGGGCTGGCTCCGGCCGTGCACAGGAGCATGAATAGAGGAGAGAAGATGCTTGCTCCAAGTAGAGTGACAGCTACTGCTTTTAAGCTGAATGAATCCGTGTTAGTGACCCCCCAGCCAGGAGAGGTGAAAGGAAACTGGGTCAGTCAGTCCAGGGCGGGACTCTCAGTCACTGGTGGATGTGACCCCCAAGGAGGCTTTGGGTTCCGGCAGCTAAGGGATCTGACTCTCATGAGACATCTTTTTGTCACTTTTCTGCCAAGGAGGCCAGCCAAGTGGCACAGGCTGGTGGGGATTAGAGTCAGGGAGCATGAGAGGAGGAAAACAAGCTTTCTGCTGTGCCAGAAGCGGGAGACGGTGACACCTGCATGACCCCAGAGCACGAGGTGGCAGGCAGACACCCAACCCTGGCAGTGGGGAGGTGTCGCCCGGGCATCAAAAGAGCTCTTCTAGGAAACACTGAAGCTCCACCTTCATGTTTTCATTGAGTGACCTCATGCCCCCTAGGCTGGTCATGGTCGAGTGTCACGGTTCCTGTGTGGTGGTGCCTATGCCAGGGGTCTGCTCAGGCTTTCTTGTAGCCAAGACCAGCTGTGGGTGAAGTATCCATGGTGCACAGGCAGGTGAATCCACACAGCCTCCTCTGTTGGACCTTGTGTCAGGTTCCTGGGTCCTGGAATTCCCTATCCAGTTCCCTGAGCCTAAACTCAAGGATAGCGTGGGCTTCTAACCCAAGTCTGTCTTGCCAGGATATACACATGCATGGACTGCGGAGGGGAGACCTAGGGCTGAACTGTAGGGTAGAACTTGGACACGGGGGCTGGGTGTTCGTGCACACATGCACAGGCTCCCTTCTAGCGCCAGGTGTAATTCCAGTCTGAAGCAAGTTGGCCCCCAAGATGTTAGGAAGACAACCAGGTGTGGTGGCATACGCCTGTAATCTTGGCACTTGGGAGGCTGAGGCAGGAGGATCATTGGAATTTGACAGCATCCTGGGCTACAAAGTGAGCTCAAGATAAGCCTGAACTGCATAGTGAGACTCTATCTCAAAAGACAAAAAACAAAAAAGGGATGTCATGGCGGGGTATTTGTTACTCTACAAAGAAAGAATACATTGAATTTGATAGCTGGTTAGCTTGACTTGTAACTTCCAAATAGTTGGATATACAGAAGCCAGCTCTATTATTCTCCCTCCCTGGATTCCCAAACGGAGGGTGGAGCTATATTTATTAACCTAGCATATGGCCTCCCTCCATTTACTTCACTATTCCTGCCTCTTGCCAGGCCTGCATGTGCCACAGACAAAGCTGATGGGCAAACCCAAAGGACCAAAGGCCTCCGCGAGCCTCAGTGAACCCCGTCTGTGTGCATCTGAAGATCCCCTCCCCCAGCCAGCCCCAGGAGACCAGCAGGGCCTGCACTCTCTCAAGAGTACTCTCGTGGCCTCAGACGCCTCTCAAGGCCTGGGATCCCTCTGCAGACTCTGTCTCCTACGGGAGTACCATGGAAGGTCCCCAGGTGGCACTGAGAGAACTGGAGGATCCTGAGGCTTCCCCAAACTTCTGCTCTGGGACATGTCCTCTGCCTTGGGGAGCTGAGGCCTGAAATGTCTCCACAGGTGCCAAAACCTCTCACTCACTTCAGGGCTGCCTCTTCCTCCTTCCCTGTGGGTTTACTCAGGTTCTCTGTGGACTTTGAATGTCTCTCCCCCTGCAGGGCAAAGGCAGAGGCTGGATAAAGAAGGCTTGCCGGCCCAGACATGCGTCTCTTCTTAGCAGTGTTAAAAATTCTACATTATTATTGCTATTACTATTATGAATGTAATTAGCACTCATGAAAAACATTAACTCAGAAGGCTTGAAATGAAAACCAGAAGCCCCCACCCCCTTTTGAGGCCCCGCAGCTCTTCTCCAGAGATGGCTGCGGGTACAGTCGCTGTTGCCCCTGGTGGCAACTGGTTGTGCTCTTCCCCAGCTGGACTTGGCCTTCTTGTCTGTTACTTGAAGTCTCCAGGGGAAAAGGGCTTCCAGAAAGATGAGAACAGAACCACGCGAGGAGCGAGGGGAGCAGGGCTGGTGTGATGGGATGGAGAGGACAATCACTGTGTGAGGGACACACAGATGACAGAGATTCCTAGGGGGAGGCAGCGGAAGTGTGGGAGAGGTGTGTGTACCAGGGAGACAGAGGGCTCAGGAGGCTGCTAGCACTAGGAACAAGACTGAGGACAGCTCCTCAGGATGTGGTGGTGACCAGCACTTGGGGTTGGAGGTTGTACCCTTCCCAGGAGGCTTTGCTCCCTACCGCTGATTTGGGAGTAGCCGGGGTGTTTGGGGACCATGCTCCCACAGCTGCCAGATAGCATTCAGAGTGCCAAGTAATACTGGGATTTCACACAAGGAACGAATCACTTTATTTTTTTATTTTTTTTGCGGAACCGGGGATTGAATTCAGGCCCTTGCGCTTGCCAGGGAAGCGCTTATTCCACTGAGCCATCTCCCCGGCCCCGTGGAATCACTTTAATGTGTGTGTATGTCCTGAATATTTTATGGAGCATACTTATATAAAAATTTTTCATCATTTATCTGAAATTGGTTTTTGTCTTTTCTTATTTGTGAAACCCAGCAAGCCTGCCCGCAAGTACAAGCACCTTGGCCTGGCTCTCAAGGGTCAAAGGGAAGGTCAGCAAATCACTACGCCACTGATGCCGCGGCCCTGAGGTAAGGCCCTGTGCTCCGGGAATGGAGACGTTTCTGAACTGCTTCCAGCCCTGTGTGAGAGTGGCAGAGTCCCTTCATGGCCCACTGGGAGTGGGGCTCACTCTGTGGGTGGTAGCTGGAGGGAACAGACAGGGCACATCTGGCCATTTGGGAGCAGCTGGATGGGAGATGTGAAACACAGATGTGGGGAGACACAGATCAACCGGGAGTGATTGCCTTTATACTCTGGAGCTTGCAAGGGAGGGTCCTGCAGGTACACAGGGACATTGTGGAGGTGGTCCCATTATTCTGGGCTGTCAGGAGGGCTGAGGCCATCATCTGTGATTCTCAGGGGGCTGTCTCAGTTCTGCTCGGTGTCATGCCTCCATCCTCTATAGTGTGCCGTAGGAGGGGTCAGGGGAGACTGCTAAGAGTGGGACCAGCTTGCCAGGCCACTTACCCATGTAAATACAGGGGGCTGGAGGAAGCCGGATGCCAACTAAGATCACTTCCAGTACTTCCAAGGAGCTGGGTCTTGGGGAAGCTCAAAGACAAATAAGAAGGGCCAGTGAGATAGCTCTGCAGACTAAGTACCTGCTCAGGTAAGTGCAGGGACCAGGGATTTTTTTTTTTTTTTTTTTTTGTGGTACCAGGGATTGAACTCAGGACCCTGCGTTTGCCAGGCAAGCACTTATTCTACTGAGCTATCTCCCTGATTCTCAGTACTGCGTGCCATGCCGGCCCCACCCCTGGTGCATGCTGAGCTGGTGATGGAGTCTGGGAGGGGTGGCGCATGCCTGTAATCCCAGCACTGGGGAGGCTGAAAACAGGAGGATCACTATGAGTCAGAGCTGTGTAGTGAGACCCTGTACCAAATACATTTAAAAAAAAAGACAAATTAGATATCCCTCCATACATTCACTTTTTTTGCATGTCTCCTGTCACCTCTATCTGCCATGTATGAGAAGGCACAAGTTTTGGGGCACTTAGTCTGTCCCTTCCACCTTCTCTGAACTCCTTTTCAAATTTTGATGTTTGTTTATTTATTTATTTAATACAAGGTCTCACTACACAGTTCAGACTCCTAATGATCTTCCTGTCTCAGCCTCCCCGACACTGGTGTGCACCACCATGTCTAGTTTCAGTGTCCCTCATGTGGTACCAGGGACTGAACCCAGGTCCTTGAGCTTGCCAGGCAGGTGCTT